ACTAGAAGCATCTGCCGAAAAGACCGATGTCGGTAGCGACAGAAACTGCGGGGAACTCTGCAAAAAGCGCATCTTCGCACGGGCAGCCCGTGCGTTGGCTAATTTTTTCCTTCTTCGACGCTTCAGCCCGCCGCCTCACGCGCCGTCTTCTCCTTCCCTTCCAACCCAGCTCTGCCTCCATCCCTAAGCCATCGTGACCTCGTGGCCTCTCTTCATCCGCTCCAGGTCATTATCCCCCTCGCTGATGCTGTTGTCGTTCGATACTACCGAAGGGGGTGTGAGCCTTCCAAAGGAAAACAACTGCTTGGAAGATTCGCGAAGGTCACTCGCGATACTTCGCGACAGAGTGTACACACGGTTGCGTGGCACATTCGGACATGTCAATGATATTTGTAAAGAAAACCGATTTCGCCAACCAGCCGATCCAGGAATCTGAAATTTTACAGGAATATTCTGTGTCTACGTGCATCCTAAATAATCCAGTTTCATCTTAAAAATGCATGCTTCCAAGTGAAAAATTGTCACACATGCTTCCAAGTGTTGGCAACTAATTAACTTGGTAAGCAGACTCAGCAGGAAGCAATTTTCTTTGAAGAATGCTTGCTTCGTAGGGGGCGGCAAACATAAAATGGGTTTTAGCTTAAGCCTGTGCCTTGCATACATACATATCAATTTTCAAACTGCAGCACTGCAGTCATTTTACTCTTTCGGCAATCAGATGGGCAAGAAAGCCGAAATTTTATGAGAGTACTGCCGGATTCTGTTGCAAATGAGAAACGTATAGCAGCTTTTACGCAGCAACATGCCCTACACAGCGGATTTTACTTTTAGCTTGATCGCAGTGACATCCTGCACGTTGCTTATTTGATAGAGAGGCACGCCAAGCATTTTTCGCTCCACCGCCCTCTCCGTCACAGCCAGCACTTGCTCTTCAACCTTCGACAGTGATCACATTTCGCATCCTTACGTCATTTTCTTCAATTATAGATATATGGGTTAAAAATTTATGGCACGCCCTGGCATTCGATGCCTGGCTACTCGTTTTATCGTTCACGAGGCAGTTCGATCATGGCCAAGTGGAATATGATCCCTTCCAAAGTCGATGTGCTTATCACCCACACACCGCCACTTGGTAAGTTTTTCCTTCCATAAAACTCTGAAGAACAATGCCCCACCGCATTTGCAAAGAAGTTGTGATCTGTTTGGCATCCCTCAGTGGCTAACCTCATTCACTGGCAGAACGCTGAAACTTTACCACTCACCTGTGAAACTTTGTGGCATGTCTGGTGGGGTACCTAAGCCATATTAAGAAAGAAAGGATACGTGCTGGTTTGGACACTTCCCATTAGGCTTTCCTACCAAAGTCTTCCCACACGTTTTGCTATTCATTTGCAGGTATTGCCATTTTTTGACGTTTTAGTGATGCTTTTACCACTTCTGGCTCGCTTTTTTGCTTGCTATTCGAAAACGTTACTTTGCATACGTGGAAAAAGTTAACCGGCTTCTACGACTTTTAGTTCTTTGACTAAATTCCACCATCTAGCCATTTTTTTGCACATTTCCTAATTTCTGCGTCTCTGTGGGTAAGTTTCAAGCCCGCCTTGTTAAACTTTGCATTACTACGATAGAATTTTACCTTCCTAGCTTAACTAATTTTGTACAGGTTTGACTGGATTTTATCCGCTTTATTTAGGTTTTCACATTCATCCTTCAAACATAAATATTTTTGGTGCCATTTCAACGCAAGAACGAGGATGCTACATTTTTCCCTCCGATTGCTTCCGTCTTTTCCATTCGTAATTTCTTTCCCCATACCGAAGCACATCATGACAATCATAACTTATTTTTACCAGAGTTGAAATGATCTCACAGGAGTCGATAAAGCAGTGGTGATTTGTACTTTTGGCCTGTTTCTACCATGAGTAAAGCTGGTGTACAGGCTGCTAAATTTATAGGCCATGGTGATTTCAACAGCTGGAACAAATGTGACGGTGTTTTGGCTGGATGCGCGGACTTGTTAAACACTGTGGAGAAGCGAGTAAAGCCGAAATATCACGTATTTGGACATATCCACCAATTACATGGCACAACAACGAATGGTCACACAACATTTATCAACGCATCCAGCTGTGATCACAAAATGAGGATAGAATACGATCCAATCATTTTCGACATCCCTCTACCGCCTGGCTGTAGCAAGAAATGAGTTCTTTTTTTGGGATCGTAAATGCACTTCTGATTTGGATGGTAAATTCATGTTCAAAGCAGTCACGGTAAAATGAACATTTCTAATTGTTCCGAGAAAATGTGAAGCCGTGCTCTCATGGACATATATTCACCGAACATACCATAAGTTTTTGACAAAATTTCAGATTTCACGTCAGGCAGATAATGTGGCTAACTTTCAGACCGACTTGCGGCACCGTAGAATTCGCGCCGCTTTCTTTTATCTCAGCTTTCGATTTGCTTGAATTTAACGTTCCTTGACCTCATGTTTAATTTTTGCTTTTAAATGCAGTTTAGCAGCTCCTACTTGATGTTTGAGCCCTCTAAATAGAAATTGCGCCGCTTCTGCCCCACTCCAACATAGTTTCGAATTGTTCAACTTTATTTTTTTCTCGCTTTGCTTGCACGCAGACGACTGGATGCCTTCCGAGCGTAAAATTGTAAACCGTAGTGTGCATATTCTAACAGAAGTGCCAAAAAGTCACTGGAGAAGACGCACTGATGCTGCATTCAATTCAAATGCCAAATTTTTTGAGGATCTTAAATTTTGTCAATGCGGTTGCAACTTATGGCTTTATTCTGTAATATACTTTTATTTTAATAAAATCATATATCTTTAGATGAGGAACGAGACGCATAAACAGTGGTGCTTGCCAGGTGACCGGTTTACCTACGTATATTTTGCATGCGTACGGTGTATTTTAACTTCTGATGTCGGGTACAGAAACAGTGCAGTTTGGAAGCAGAACTCTCGTCAATCACCCCGTTCCCAAGTAAACACAAACAAGAACTACTCTGATAAAAGCAAAAATCGAAATTCAAACAAAGCGATCTAACTACCGTTTTCGCCAATGACCAGTGATTTTTTATCCGTCTAGCAGACGCCGCTCGTGCCCAATTGCACTAGATCATCGATCAGTACAATCGGTAACAGCCTTCAACCAGATAAATATAGAGTGTGAAAGGACCACTCCACTAAGCAAGTCAACCAACTGGCATTAAAAGCCTCTATGTGCTTACAGGCAATTTCTGAATGTTTTGGCAACAACTGTGCCCTTTTTTGTGAAGGCCTTTTCGATGTTTTTTACGTAGACTACCCAGAATCGGAGGCAGACAATAGCAATCCCGAATAGCAGCGCTCACTATTCCCAGCATATATACGCGCGTATAATATGCACAAACAAGTGCAGATCGATGTATCACAAACGCATTCAGGAGACATTAACTTCCGAAAGGCGTCCGACCCAGCTATTCGGGCCCTAAAATCAGCTACGAGCGTTTGGGAACACTGGACCCTGCGTCCTGAGCACCCAGTCGCTAGCAGCTTCGGTTTCAACTTTTCAGCACCCTGCTTTTTGCAACTCTGGTTGTAGTCCTCCAGTGTAATTTTGCTTTTCGAGAAGCCCAGTCGTCGCTTTACTCGTGCCATCAACGTGGCCGGCAGCTTTTCCATTCGTGCTATGACTAGATGTGTTCGCTAATTAGAGGATAAAAACTGGGAAGGAGAAGGTGCCACGCTTTGTACATGCAACCCATTTTGGTATAACAGTGTGTAACGGCATGAAAAACAATTTCATTTCAAAAATATGTTCAGTAAAAGAAATGCAAAACACTATCACAAAGCACATAAATAACCGGAAATACTGTGAAGTGAAAACATACAAAACTAAAAATACTCGGAGACCAGCAGCCAAAACAATAAATCCAGAACAGAGCAATTCGGAGGAATGGAAGAGAGACCGGGAAGGACACTAAATTAGAAAGCGCGAGCAACAGCGTAGCAAGAAAACAAGGTGTAACACTCCTCCTAAGTAGAAAAGAAACATAAAAAAGACATCGACACAGTGAATATGTGCGTTTGCAAGACGACAGCGTAGTTATGCATTAAAGACAAATGCAGCGAAATACACATGAGCTACTCTCATTGGTAATGATTTTTTTTCCACCTATAAATGCACCAACATTTCGAATTTCTGATTGTTTTAATCTTGATTTACAAATCCAGTGCATACATAAGTGAGAAACTCTGACACAATAAGATATGAAATCCGTCTTCTGATCATCTACTCCTAACTACTGAACGAATTGCAGTCCTGACACTGCAAATTTGTGGCTCTTTCCGTTTTAAAATTTAACTTGAATTTGGAACTGGCATTATAAGCAACACGATGAGACCTGAAGGCCGTTTCAAATCTCCGTCATACATTATCTGCTGGAACAAACCTAAAAAAAATCTGCGAACTATAGCACTTTTTTTGCTATCAAACCCCAAAACTAGCTTAACATAAGAT